ATTACAGTGGTCGGTCTCCTTTAATGAATATTTTTCTTTTAATTTCCATGAAAAATGTGATAGTCTCCAGTTGAAGTAGAGAACAAGAACTTCTCTTCCCCCATTGTTCCAATTCGTACGATGAAATTCCTGATTTGATAAAATACTAATAGTAGTTTGGTGAATTATTATTACCAGGACAAAAGAACAAGAAAATATTTTATTGTACTGATGATTTTGTTTGTGTTCAGGTAGTGAGGATAGTTGTCATTAGTCGATTTGTTTTTATGGGATTGTGTGATGGAACATGGATGAATTATTTTCACAATAAATGAAAGAGTTCATGTCTCTGGTTTTGTCTTTTAGCTCCAATCAATTGTATGTCATATCATGGAATATGCAATAATATTTTCAGACAACTGCTTTGAATCAAAAACAACAGAAGACATCTTCCAATTAAACCATCAGTTCATCATCAAAGTTTTGTACAATCACGTAGAAAAAAATTTTAATTAATTGAATGGATCAAAGATGAGGATATCCACCGTTCAGAGAAAATAAAACAGGAGCGAATATGGTCGGGCGAGAGTCAAAAGTAATGGAAAAGCAAGACTGCATCATCAAGCTGGATCTGCGACGACTCCAGAACTAGCCTCACTTTTCTTATCCGATTGAATCGATCATTCAGTTCCCCCACGCGCTTATCTGACGGCAGACTCAGCAGCTGAAACGCAAAATGAACATAATAGGTAACAATGGTGATGGTGTGAATGCCACAAGCAGAAATCTGACGAGAAGAGGAAAAATGGAAGTACCTCCTTTTCTTGCTCCAGTTCATATGCCAGCCGTTGATTTAGATTTAAAGCGGCATGGAACATCTCATCCAACACATGTTCCCACAATGTCCGCTTATTCACCTTCCACAACAGGAATTGTGCTTGTCTAGCTCCTGTCACTACTAGTTTCTGTATCAACCATATCAATTACACAAGCAGCCAAGAGCTTGAACCGCAAGGCATATAATTTTAATTACTGTCTACCGTGATGAACACTTCCCCTCAAATTATAACACCATTTCGTACGTTCAAAACAAATGCATGAATATCCACAAACTCTATCAGGAAGCAAAGGTCGAGGATAGAGTATGCAAATCTTTTGCTTTTACCGAAAAGGGCAAAGACCGAAGTTTAAAATTACACAACTTGCACTGATCTAAAGCTGCAAACAGAAACGGTGTATACCTCCATATGCAAGTATTCATCCTTCCACAACTTGTAAAGAATTTTTGGAGCATCCTTCTTTTCAACAAAAGTGGAATCTGCTATCTACAAAATAAAATTAAGAAAAACAATGGAATAAACATACACCGAACATGTGCTTCTAGAAGCTTAAGAAATTTCCTTTGAGTAGTTGGCTATATCCAGCTTAGTTTTTACACAAATTGGATAAAGAAACGTCACCAGAAGTTTTTTTGGAGGAGTTCATCTTCAATTAAGTTGAATTGGTAAAAATTTTCTCCTCAAATAGAAAAGGAAACTTTCTTGCAGGAAAGAAACCAGCAAGGCTCTGGATCCGGCAGACCTACTAGTTAAAAATCCTTACCTTATCAGTCTCAAGTAGACGACCAGCTTTCAGCAATAACCTAAACATTCTGTAAGCATCCCTCCCATACCTTTTCAGAACAACTGACTCCACCTGCAAGGTAGACATTTGACTCAGGTAATGAAGAATGGTTATTTCAACTACTCGAAAGAGTATAGATCGAAATAAACCTCATGATTCTGTGCCAGTTCAATAATGTGCTTGAAATCTGTACAAGAAACACAAAATTGGAGGTCTGAAAATAATAAAACCAGCCAAACGAGATTAAGGTGGAAAAAGGGTTGTATGATACCAACACTATATGATTCATCAAACTCTCTAACAAAGGGTGGAGAGCCCAACTGAACGAGAGAAGCACTGACACGATCGATGGTCATATTACGACCTGCTTCACTCTTTATAACCTCTTCATAAATAGAATTAAGTGATAAGGGAACTGCAAAGAACAGGATTATCAGGAACATAAGTATACATTAATAGCTAAGGAAGTTGCATGAGATTGAAGCAGGGGACAAGAGAAACCCATGAACAATTAAATTAGAGGATAATAAATAACAAACCACATAATTGTTTCACCATAAAAGCCAAAAAAAGAAGAGAAAAGATTGGAATGACCTATATAGTAGTGTTATTCCTTTTGCCATAATTGTTATGATAAAAATTTAAAGAAACACTCTTATCAAAAAATTAAAATAAAATAAGCACAACCACAGAATGGACACCTGATTTTTCTGTTTTCAACTTATTCTCTTCACTTCTTGATGCCTCTAGCATTGCAGCTAATACAGTGGCTGCTCCATCATCCAGACGAGCTCTAACATTTTCAATGCAAGCCTGAAATGTAGCGAGAAAAATATTTCAATAACAGCAAGCAGAAAGCATTCTAAAAGAGGGTTCAGAACAAACTCAAAAAAGCAAATACTAGAAGAGAAAAAGAGGATATGGCGCAATTCACTTCATTACCTCGAGTCTCCCATCACCCCAACCAAAAAAAAAAAACCAAAATTTGTCTCCTATTTTTGAACCCCAAAAGACATTTATTTAGAATCTCATCTGAGAGCTTATGCCCCAACACTCTCTGCATCTAATATAAAAGACCTAACTACCAAAACAATAGCTTTCATTTGCTTGAGATGTTGAAGCAACCTTATGCCTCAGTCGACGAGCAAATTCCTCAAAGCTGACACGCCAAAGAACTGTTTGCTCATCTGTAGCCCCTAATCCTTTATCTGACTCCACAGCATCACGCTTGCGCTTTAAAAGACATTTAAAAGAAAAAGTGAAAAGACACATTTAGTATAAAATACCCATGTTAGTATATTATTCTTATACCAACCTTCTCCCCAATAATCAGGCTAGAGAAGTCGTCCTCGTTTTCTTCATGACTATCGGGTCCCACATCTGTTGTAAATGAGAACCTTGCTACTTCCCCTGGTATTGATGCTGCTACAACTCGTTGTTCTAAAGTTTCTCGCTCTTCAATTATCTGCAAGTTGGAAAAGAGTTTTCAAGAAGGAGATATGGTTTATTCATCTTCAGAAAATAGATAACCTAATTTATGCCTTGTTGAAAAATGTAAACACACCAGACAGACCCAAACATAGCAAAAAGTTTACAGCCCTCAAAAATAATGGTCCCTTTTTTAAGACCCAAGTTGAGATAAGCAATGAAGTAAAGATGAATATATACACATATTATGTATATATGAAACATACACTACTAACAGTACATTTATGTTCTCCTTTTCCTTAATGTGGTAGTGTACATGGTTTATTACCCTCTTACTGGAGCAACTAATGGTCAGATGAAGTTTAATTTCTACCCCACCATGAGAAGATGATGCTTTTCCCATAACAGGCTGTAAGCATATAGGCAATACAATCATATATTTTTTTGGTTAATGTAAAGTTGAATGTCAGAATCTTTCCTACCTTCTGAGACTGGATATAAGCCATTATGGTAAGTTTGATCAAATTATTCAGCTCAACTGCCACAAGGCAGATAAAGGAACAACATATAAGGATGAAGTTAGGACATCAAACAAGCACACATGTAAACAATCAACTGTTAGTCTTGACTCTCTACAGAAGCTAACAAATTTTGGCATGAACAGGAATGTACCTTAGCAGACTTAGAAGCCCGTCTCTTTGCAGCAGATTCTTCTTCAGTTGGCATGGCAATAACTGGTTGAGGGGCAGGGCAGCGTTCGACATAATGGGCAGCCACAAGTTTAAGAAGAGTCTCTCGCACCTCATCTGGAGCTAGAGCAGCATCTGGAAAAAATTCAAACAACATCGACATACATCAAATGATAAATAAAGTTATACCCTTATTAAAAATGCCAAAACCTATGACCTTTCTCATGTCTATGGAAAAAATTATTCCTAGTCAAAATAAGAAAGAATACTTTGGTTATATTTGAGAACTATCTGATACTACCCCTTTCAGACATTAAAGCCCCAACCTGAAATTCATTGGAGGAACAAACCATCCTTCAAATAAAAGTAGAATTAGAGGGTAGTCCACTTGTTACCAGTGTCATCTCTTTTTCATCCAAACAATCCCAAGAAGTAAAATTATAAGGAAATCTCTCGCTCACAAACCAATACTTTTTTGTCCAGCATGAGTTCTGAGCACAAACAAGAACAAAGATAAACTCGGTTGACAGAGTAAACTATCCTTCACTAGAATTCCAATTTTTTCAAAGTAAAGAAGCAAGTATCGTAAAGACAATACTATCATTTTGAAGCAAGCATTATAAACAAACAAATAAAGTAAGCATTATAAGCACAATAGAATAAACTTGCTTTCATTTTGGCTCGATTCAGCTCTATCAAGCATTTGTTGCAGTGTAAGCCTGCCATGTTGAAGCAAACCCTCAAGAAGTGCTACAGACTGCCAAAAAATTAATAAACGAATAGTGAATCCAATACTTGCATCAAACATCAGAAATCCATATTAATCAAAACAGAGATAAAAGGACTAACTTCTTGACCAAGATCCTTTGACACAATCATCAAAAACTTAGAAAACCTCACGCGATGTATTATGTTATCAAACAGCGCAATGTACTGAGTATTGACTTTAGGCCCATCTCCGAAAGTACCTGCACCAATGATCATCAAGAACGAGCACCATGAATTAATATCCTAAACACCAACACGTGCTTGTTATTTGAAATCAAAGTGGCTGCTATTCGAACCAATCAGTTCCTAACGCGGATGTATAATCCCGCAGAGAAAAACATCCAGACACCAGAGTTGTCGTTTTCCTAAGAAACGAGCCTAAAAATAGGTAATTTGGAAGTTCAGTACCTGCTTCTTCGAGGACGAAAGCTTGAACACAATTGTGTTGAATCAAGACAAGCAAGCAGTTCTTGACATTCGAAGGATTGAGCTCGGTGAACCGAACTATGTTCGGCAGCGTTAGAGCCCCTTTCCGGAGGAGACATTCGCACACTTTCTGTATACATCAATCCGATTAAAAACATCAAATTGAACTCCATAGACGCACACATGAAATGCTATATGCAAATTTATAGTTTTAGAGAAACATATGGAGAGAGAGAGAGAGAGAGAGAGAGAGAGAGAGTACAGCGACGAGGTTCCCGAAGTGTTTGGTGATGATATGGACGGCGTATTTGACGGCGTACTGAGTCAGCACCATCTTTGTTTTCCCTTTCTCCATTCTGGGGGAGACCTGAGAAGAACAAGAAGATGGGCGGGAAGGGAGGTCGGTAGGGCAAGCTAAAAACCCATATAAAATTATTCCTCCTAATCACCACTCATCAATTCGGGTCCATAGCTCAGTGGTAGAGCATTTGACTGCAGATCAAGAGGTCACCGGTTCGAACCCGGTTGGGCCCTTTTGCATTGCATATCTTTTTTATCCTCTTAGACATATAAAACGACGACGTTCAGTGAATGCCAGCCAATATACTCATCTAAACTGTTACTACCGGCCCATTTCTATAGGTCATTCACAGCCTTGACTCTGTATAAATTGGACCCAGAAGCTCCCGTAATAACTCTCCCCTAACCATACTGAAACGACAAATTATCATCAACTTATTTCACCGCCATTGTCTTGAGCTAGAAAGCCTGAGTTGATTATAATCTAACCCTAAACAAAGAAATATTTTATTGAGAAAAGACAGAGAGGCCCCGCAGGTGGCGAATCCAGGGGGCATATCGACGCAAGTGCGCAAGCGAATAGATGTGCGTGTGACGGGCGGGTTTTCTTCCTTTTCCACTCCCTTCGCACCCAACACCTCACATGTTCCTGCTCCTGCATTAATAACAATCAACGTCTATTTCTCTTACTTTAAAATTTTACTAATCACGTACGCCATATATTGACGACAGTCCGATATTTCTTATATACATATATATATATAGTATGCATGTATGTATGTATGTATGTATGTATGTATGTATGTATGGGTCGGAGGAGATGCGAAGTCGGGGCAGGTGCCAAGTACCAAATCCTTTCGCATCACTCTAAACGGTGCCGTGTCGTCGTCCATCCCTCTCCGAGTGTATAATTGGCTCTTTTTATTTATTCAAAAAAAAAAACTCAATTACTAAAATTAATTCATAAATTAACGTTCGGATTAAACTAAAACCAGTTTAATAATTCATAATTACGAAGCTATTTGAAATGAAAGGACAGAGCCGAGCTGGTAGAAATTTCAAGAAATGGGTTTAAATATTTATTTCAAATAAATTCGTATAAGAGTCGTTTTCTGAAGCGGACTTGATGCTGAGTTTTTTCCTAGCAACATTAGCTGTTGATGGGGACTAATACCAGCTGCCTTAAAGCTATATTTACAGTCATATACAAATATATCTCTTACTGTATATTAATATATTACATATCTTATCCACGTACCAACATTAATAATTACTTGTACACTTTAGGTTAATGTCTTACGGTATATATTACGAGGTTTGAATGACATTTTTTGTATTGCATGTTTGACTTTTTTATTAGTATAAGTTTTAAAAAAATAAAAAAAAACGGATTACGAAAGTTAAATACGATAAATTTAAAAATATAAAATATTAAATATTATCAGTAATTTGATCTTTCGAGAAGACGATACGAACTTTGAATTGGTCGATAACAACTTGTTCTTGTTCAAAATCGTCTGTGTTAAAGTAATCATAGTAGAAATGAGTTGCAGTATTTTATAGAGGTCATCTTTAATTGATCCGTAAAATATAATAGTAACGATATTATGTTGCGAAACGTTTAAAGGAAATAAATTTTTTTTTTTTTTTTGTAATTTCGAGAACACGAAGCATGGCTTTGAGATGCAAGGGACAAGTGACGGAATGTAAAGAATGGGAAACAAACGTAACGAATATTGACGGAACGTAAAGAAGATGAACAAATGTAATGAATATTCAAACCTTGTTCGTCGCTGACTAATAACCGATCATTATCTTTTTTACTCTGGTGCAAAATTTAGACTCGAAAAATCAAGAGTCGCATGATGTAATTTACTATGTACTTCGACCACTAGTGTACGATCAAATGTATTTGAGGATTCTGATGTTATTGAATATAATTTTTTACGATATATATAAGTAACATAATTTTTTAGATAATATATATATATA